CTTCTGCAATGCTTGGTAGACTCATGGAATAAACAAGATGAGTCAAAAGGGAGAGGCTTCCATTTTGTAGATTTTGGGAATGGAGATCCAAATGATGATACGTGTGGGATCTGTGGAGATGGGGGAGATCTGATCTGTTGCGATGGTTGCCCATCTACGTTTCACCAGAGCTGCTTAGATATAAAAGTAATGCTCCATAGATTATTCTATTTCATGTTTATGTAGTCAAGGCCTTTCTCTTCTCTTAACACTATTTTTCCTTTTGTTTTATTTTTTACTCTGTTACCGGAGTAAAACAAAGAGGAAAATTGTGTATGATATGTGTGAACTAATTAATATCCTGTGAGGCAGTTCTAAGGAGTGTCTTAAAGTTCTTTTGTCCTGTCCAGTTTCCACTATAATGATGATAGTTAGATTTCCCTCCAACCCCTCCTCCTCTCTCCACCCCCCGCACGCGAACTGGTATTCGTTCTTTTTATAACATATATGAGAGGTTGATGCATGATGCCTTTTCTTGTATATTCATAGGTTAAAGTCCACATGTTTGTTTAAAAATTCTAATGAACATTATCAATGAAAAATAGTGATGAATACTATCAATGAAAAAAGAAATTAAAGATTAGTACCTGAAAAAATGGAACAGTTTATAGTGGTAATTCTCTGCTGATGTTCATTTAGGATGATATATTCTCATGCTTAATGGGTTGAAAAGGGGCTAGCATTATTGGATTCAAATTTTAGATCTTCTGTGTTGAATCTGAACTTGAACTTATTTTCTTGTTAATCCAGCAGATTAATAATCTGATTTTTGTTTATATTTTAACTTTGTAACTGCAGAAGTTCCCTTCCGGTGACTGGCATTGTGTTTATTGCACCTGCAAATTTTGTGGAATGGTCAATGTGGCTACATGTCAAAGGGATGCTGATGACAATATTGCCCAGTCTACCTTATGCATTTGCTGTTTATGCGAAGAAAAATGTATTCTTTTATTTTCTTGATCATTTAGAAAATGTTGATTATGCGCAAATTATCGAATTCCTTTATTATTGTTATTACTGCTTCGGCTTCTGTTACTGTTGGTAACTTTTATTATCGTTATCAATATTATTGCATAACCTTCATCTTTTTCCACTTGGGTACAAAATTAACTGTTATTCTTGTTGTAGATCACCCGTCGTGCATCCAAGAGGAAGATGCTGCAAATGATAATCAAAGTAGGATGTCTTATTGTGGAAAGAAATGTCAAGAGGTAATGTTGTAGTTATTCATTAGGGTAAAACTGTGCTTGGAACCTTGGTGTTTTCAATCTGCTAATGCATGTCCAGTTACCATGTACAGCATAATTCTGGTCTTGCAGACTTTATTTTTGTGTAGCTTTCAGGAGAAGCTGGAGAAGTTTGTAGCTTGCTACTTGATTTGGTAGCAAGGTTTCAGTAGATGGATTATAGTTTTTTACTTCACCTTGCTGTCCTGTTCTGTATGAATTGGCATTTCAAACATTACTTGTCAGCTATCAACTAATTAGAATGATAAAATATGCAGTTGATGAGTTATCTTCACATTTGCTTTGAGGGGAAGAAAACTGTACTTGCATGTAATGCTGTGGATTAGACATGAATGTAGCTTCTAAATTTTTATTTCAGAAAATTTCATTCACAAACAACTCAGGCCATTGCTACTTAAATAGGAAAATAGAGTTTACAGGTAAGAATTAGTCCAAATATCTATAAGGTCTCTTAAGTCCTTCCATTGTTCAGGGAGTAATGATAACTCAAATATAAAAGGCTTCAGAGAACAAGGCCCCTAATTCTACATGAAAGCGAACAAACTCCCTTAAAAGCTAGTCTATTCCAATCTCTCAAAATGGCACCAAAAATAGCAAGGGTGAGGAGAGAAATGAACCTCTTTTTAGTCCACTCAATCCAAAAACCCTTCCAAGCCAATAATTTAGTTGCGAAGTGACCTGCAACTACCTAATCTAAACCAAGAAACATTTATTGTTGTCTCCCACGAGAAGCTAACTGCCGTGAACCAAAGAAGCAGGTGGCTGGGAAATTCTGCATCCTCCAGACACATGTGATAGCCACTTCTTTGGACATTGCCCCTCTTGATAAGGTTGTTTTTCGTGCAAATCTTTTCTCACGCTTTCTTCCAAGCAAAAGGAGCAATTTGAACCATGGGAGGTGTCTACTTCTAGAGGGTAATATGTTTCCTGCTACGCAAGGAACTATAGTATGATTTAGACCAGGAAAGCCTATCTTTATTTGCCACCACCGCTGTTGGTCTTCCTTATCTGCATAAACTGAATTTGATCTCAACAACCCTAACAAGCAGGGAAACCGTCAATTTTTGTTGTCCAAATAGTGGCTGATCTTAAATGTCTCACACCATCTCTTGTAAGCATCCAAAAGAGCATACCCCAATCTTGGCATCTTTCCTTCAGGTGGCCAAGCTGTACAAAACAGGAAGACTATATTTCAACAGTTCTGTAGACCATGTGTTTTTTGAAAGCTTCATACACTCTGCTTGCCTACCCTGTGCAATTTATCTTTTAAAACTCTAACCATCATTTCAACAATTTTGTGAACTTTAAGCCATCTGTAAATAATTTGGCTTGATGTTTGTCTCTTGGGAGGTAGGAAAGGGAATTTTGAGACATTTGTATTTGGGCCAATGAGCTGATTTGATCTGTAAGGATAGCAAAAAATGAGGATGGGAATTTCAAAACTATCTAAAGCTACCAGAAAGCACATAGAAAATTACTTAATGGTTGAAGTCTTTCTAGTTTATATCAAAATTTCCCATATCCTGAAATCGGTTTTGATACGAAGATCATGGAATCCATATGTACAATGTTCATTGATTAGATTTGTCATGGTTTTTTATTTGAAAAATTGAATGCGAGTCAAAACTAAGGAGTGGTTTTAATTAAGGATTGGTGCCTGCCTTTTTATTTTAAATTAATGACTAGCTAAGAAAATATCTGCATAAACATACACTTTGTTTTCTAAATTTAGTCAAAAGTGAGGTATGAATGCAAGTATGACTTTAAATAGTGATTGAATATTTCAGAGAACATATGAGATGTGTATATATATATACTCAGGTTAACTTGTAGATCGAGCATCTCCTTTTCAGCAGTTATTTTTGTTTCTAAAGGTGAGATAAGGAGTTGATGATACTAATGCATAGCCATATGGTGGGTGATATACCTTTAGCTTAGAATTTTTTTTAAAGAAGAAAATATAGGAGTATGGTAATACAGAGGCACCAAGGGTATGCACCCAGATGCAGAAGAAAAATTTACAAAGCAGTTCAGCCATCAATAAGTTAAACCCAGATACTCTTATGGCAAAGAAGAAAATATAGGAGTATATTAATACAGAGGCATCAAGGCTATGCACCCAGATGCAGAAGAAAAATTTACAAAGCAGTTAAACCATGAATAAGTTAAACCCAAATACTCTTATGGCAAAAATCAGCACCTGTTACATAGATCCAAAGTTCTATTTTCCTTTTAAATCTAGAAAATGACTTTCCCTCTTGAGAAATTTTATTAATTTGTTTATATTTTCAAAGAAAGAGTTAGATCATTTATATTTACTATGCCTTCAAAGTGATTCAAAATTTTCTTTATTTTGCAGTTATTTGAGAAACTGCATGCACTCTTTGGGGTAAAACATGAACTGCAAGATGGTTTCTCTTGGGCTTTTCTCCACCGATCTGATATTGACTCAGACTTTTCTCCAAGTGAAGTTTCTCGAGAGATTGAATGCAATTCCAAACTAGCTGTTGCAATGTTTGTAATGGACGAATGCTTCTTGCCTCTTCTCGACCACAGAAGTGGGACTAATTTGCTTCATAATATTGTCTATAGTTTCGGGTAAGCACTGAGAACCCATATTTTAATCATCTTTCTTAGGGAGAATGAACATAATTTATAACATTGTTGGACCTTTCCTGCAGGAGAATAGGTGGTTCAGTTTTCATTTTATGTGTGATTCTGCTGATGGCAGTATTTGGATGCTGACTCAATACATTAAAAAGGAAACAATTATTACATAATTCTGGTTAATGATATTGTGCACTAGAAGTATCAAAAGTTTCAGTATGTACTAGAGGAAGATTCTTTTCTTAAAAAGGAGTTTTTGGATGGTGGTGGGTATTAGATGGATCCTCGATTTACTCTTTATAAAATCCTGTATATTTGGAGCTGTTTGGGGGCCTCAGGCCTCGAAACAAGCATATCAAGAGCATATATACCCTAGCACACTCACACATGGAGAAAACTTTATGGTTCAAATTTTCTCTATGCTTGGGCAATTGCTGTTTGTTTGACAAAATGAATTATTGTCGCGAAGTTACTGTTTTGTTAAAAGATTTTGTCATTAATCTCAGTATCTGCCAATTTTTTTTTGGAGAAAGAGTATCTTTGATCTCTAAGTTTATTGTTGAGATTAATTTTGTGGTTGAATGGAAAAATTTTTGGGGTATTTTGATTATGCGCTGTTTTCATGTTCAGATCTTAACAATTAAATCAAGGCCTTTCACATCAGCAACATTAGAAGTTGTCTTTTCCCTTTCTGTTTCAATTTTTTTTTTAAAGAAATATATATCTATTCACAAGCACCAAGGGAATACAATCAGTGTACAAAGTTTACATATCAAATAAAAAATCTATCAGATCTCCAAGATCCTCAAAAGAATAAAGAGGATGACCCTTAATATAAAAAAACCTAGCGTTTGGAACCGAATTTTTTTGAATTTGTCAAAATTCTTCTCAGTACTCTCAAAAAAGCTTTTTGTTGCTACTTATTGTTGCAGAAATACTTTGTTCTGCCTCTCTGGATAAAATGGTTGACATGCACTCTACCTTTATTTTCAATTTTCAAAGTATTGCTTGGGATAACAGAATGGAAGAGATATGAGAAGTTTGAACTCAATGATTTATCAAACAATTTCTGTTTTCTAGGTCAAACTTTAACCGGCTGAATTATACTGGTTTTTTCACTGCAATTCTTGAGAGGGGTGATGAGATTGTTGCTGCAGCATCCATTAGGTATGTCTTCTTCCATGTTTGTAGTAGTATGTTTCCCATAAGATATGGTTATTAGGACCTTAAATATTAATGTAGAAGAGAAGTATTATTATTTGCCTCTTAAAAGGATTTGCTTTGACCACTCTGATTCACTTAAATCTTCTTTGATAAATCTGTCTGTTCTCGTTATGGTTGATCTTGGTGAACTTCTAATTGTATTCATTGAACAGTGAGTGTTCTACCTAGTATGCACAAGAGTCCCTCTTCTCAGAAAAGAAAATAAAAAGATTCATGAAATCCTACATTTGGAGCTCTGAATAGGGGTTAGCATGGTGTTTTTGGCATTGTCAACTAAGGCACGTTTTTTGGGGCAAATACCATTGTCTAATTTATGAAGAAATCAGGGGGGCTACTTCATGTTGGTGGTCTTTTCCTTTCATTTTGTTGTTTTCTACTTTCTCTTTGCGTTCCTAGTTAATAAATGCCATTGTCTAGTTCAGGGCTGGTCGTTGTACATCATGATATTTTTAAATTGACACATCATCATATTTTTTAAGTGACACGTTTTTTTTGAGAGGAAGGTTTATACATAAAACACCTGTGGCAGTATGTGTTGCGTGATATTAAAGTATAAACAAAAAATGCCAGAGCTTGTGTAACTCAGTAGTGCTGCTGCTCTTATGTGAGCATTTCCTTACAGTTTCAATCCCCAACCTTTATGAAGCCCATATAGGTTTAGCTAACAAAAGTGTAAATATAAAAACTGTTTTTAGGAAAACCATAGAAACAATTTTTATTCTTTTCAAATTCAGCATCACATTTTTTAAATGTCTTTATTTTCACTATTACATGTCTTACTGCAAAAATATGTATGAATTAAGTCAGTCAAAACTAAAAGGCATTGTAGTGTACAAAATGGGCCATCTTCTAAATTTTTTTCTGTCAAGCATTTTGAGTTATTGATAATCTCTTGTCACTTATCTTGTCAATTGTCACTAAGTGGATTGCTATTTGTGGGAGCAAATATACCTATTATCCAATCATAAGTTGTTTGGAACTGAGATTTAGTTAAGTAGCAAATCTACCTATAATCTATTGTCTTGGTCCAAAAATTTTCTGTTTAACTAACTTACCAAATTAAACTAGTATATTTATATTAAACCTTTTCTTTTCCCCTTTGCCATCTGATATTTCTTTGGATTAATTAAAATAACTGGATCAAGGTGTATATTTGGATAGCAGATTAGAAAAAATCTAAAAGTTTTGGAATCCTAATAGGTGCTCAACAATGTCATCATGGTAGATGATCACATCTTGTGTAGAGGCAGCGGTAGTAGCTTTTTTTGTGAGAGCATGTTTGCATCTAGTGATGGTTCATGTTTTTGTGAATGCTTCAATAATTCACTATTAACAATAACATTGCATAATTTTTGATGAAATAGGATCCACGGCAATCAGTTAGCAGAGATGCCATTTATTGGGACACGCTATATGTATAGACGTCAGGGGATGTGCCGTCGGCTGCTTAATGCTATTGAACATGTATGTTTTAAATAAATGTCATCTTTTGCTTCTTTCACTGTTCTTTCCTACTGAATTTCTATTATGGAACTTTTCACAGTAACATTTATAATAAGTATTACATCAAGGAACCATTTGCTAATGTTGTGTTTCTTGTTTATTAATTGACGAAAATTATCTGAAATATTGTCCAAAAGTTACGAGTTTATACTTCTGTTCTTTTTTTTTTAGATAAAAAATGTGAAGTGTATATTGACAAGGTACCAAAATTAGTGTGTTTATGATATTTTCAAAATCTACATCATTAATAATTTTATGATTTAACAAAATAGACCCAAAATAGAGAATACACTTGTCTTTTAATCTATAAATACTATTTTCAATACTATCAAAAATGCTACTATTTCTCTCTTTCCAAAGAACCCAAAAAACGGTCAAAGAGATTATATTTACTTTATTTCTTTTTACACATAAGCCATCCCAATCCCAAATCTCTCCCCCAACTGACCCAACAATTACCCAATCAATCCCTAGAAGACCATATATCATACACCAAAGGCTTTAGGCATTAGGACTCCACAGCAGAAGATGATTTCAAGTTTCCTCTGCCTTCAGACACCAGTAGCAGCCGCTCACCAAAATCTGGCCTCTAACTCTCAGCTTGTCAAGGGTTAAAATTTTCTCCCAACAAGCCTCCCAAGCAAAAACAAAGCAATGTGAGGGGAAACTTTGGTCTTCCACATTTGCTTAGTCGGAAAATCCTATCTAACAGCAGCATCCCTATTATGCAGATAACTGTAGTACAAACTGACAGAAAATTTACCTTTCCAATTTCCACTAGATCTGATCATCAGTAGTCAGAACTCGCTGAGTTTGTTCTTCTATTCTTGGACATAAGAGGAAGAAACCTGTCTTGTATTTATGTGAAGCAATAGAGAAAAAAAGAAAATTATCCTAAAAAAAATTGCGAGGCTGAAGGAACTATTTTTTCTTTTAAATAAAAATATTATGATGTGATATTCACAAGCATCAAGGATGTGCAAATCCATGTATAAAAATATTTACATATTAATTTAAATGTCAATAATGTCCCCCAATCTTCAGAGGGATAACGAGGATGATCCACAATAAAAGAACCTTGAGTCTGAAATCACTTATCTTTACCCCTAACGAAGTTCAATGCTAAATGAACTAATTGTCAACTGTTTTTGTTTGAGAGGGAAAATTATATTTTGTATTACAATTACAATTGGTTTATATACAGGAGCTCTAGCCTTTAGAAACGGAATCACATCCCATGATCTGTGGGATATTCACATCCCATAATCTGTGGAATATTCTCATCCCATAATCTATAGGATATGACACCACAAAAAAAAAAAAACTAACCGAATCAACCTAATTCTAGGAAGACTAACTATTATATTCAGAATTTCCTAATTTAATCTATACATGTGTTAAGCACATTCTTCCCCACTTCCTCTTAAGTTGGTGAATATTCACCATTCCCAGCTTGGATACAAAACTCTCAGACACTGAACTACTTAACTTCTTGGTGAGTATATCAGCAAGTTGGGCATGTGTAGATACATAAGGTGTAGAAATCAATCCACTATCCAACTTTTCTTTGATAAAGTATCTGTCAATCTCGATATGTTTTGTTCGATCATACTGCACTAGGTTGTGAGATATGCTGATTGCAACAATAAAGTTTCATAGGGCCATTCCACGTGATCTTCTGATCCTCTAAAACAATCTTCAACCATAGTAGTTTACACACTCCCTGAGCCATTCTGCCTTAGCGCTAGATTGTGCTACCACAGTCTGTTTCTTACTCCATGTCACCAAATTTCCACCAAGGAATGTGCAATGACCTAAAGTTGATCTTCTGTCAACAACTGATCCAGCATAGTTAGCATCTTTGTATGCCTCAAGGACTAATCTTCCATTCCTCTTGAAAAGGATGCCTATACCTAGTGTCCCTTTTAGATATTGTAAAATTCTGTATGCCACCTGCAGTTGGACTTCCTTTGGATTGTGCATGAACTGACTGATCACACTCATCGCGTACACTATATCTGGCCGAGTGTGAGAAAGATAAATGAGCTTCCCTACCAATTGTTGATACATCTCTCTATCCACCATAGCATCTTTTTCTGCCTTTCTAAGCTTGAGATTCAGCTTTATTGGAGTACTCACTGGTTTGCATGCTGTCTTGTTGATTTCTTTGAGTAGATCTGTAACACACTTCTGTTGAGAGATAAAAATGCCATGCTTAGAATGAACCACTTCAATCCCTAGGAAATAATTCAATCTTCCTAACGTCTTGATCTCAAATTCCTTAGTTAAACATTGACTTAGAAATTGTTTCTCCCTATGATCATCACCAGTTATAATTATGTCATCAACATACACCAATAAGGTTGTAACTTTACCTACAGGTGAATGTTTAATAAACAAAGTGTGATCCCCTTGACTCTTCCTATATCCCATAGCTGTCATTACTCTAGCAAACCTTTCAAACCATGCTCGTGGTGATTGTTTAAATCCATACAAAGACTTTTTTAGTATACATACTGTACTAGCAGTCAACCCTTTATTATAACTTGGTGGAACTTCCATATAAATTTCCTCCTCAAGTTCTCCATGCAAAAATGCATTCTTAACATCAAACTGCTACAAATCCCAATCACCATTAGCTGTTAATGACAATAAAACTCTAATAGTGTTCATCTTTGCAACTGGAGCGAATGTTTCTTGATAATTAATCCCATAAGTTTGAGAATAACCCTTAGCCACCAACCTAGTCTTGTATCTTTCTATTGATCCATCTGCTCTATATTTTATTATGTAAACCCATTTACACCCTAGGGGTTTCTTTCCTTCAGGTAACTTCACTAACTCCCAAGCTTTGTTCTTCTCCAATGCCTCCATCTCCACACTCATGGCTTGCTTCAATGTTTCATTGGTTAAAGCCTCGGATACATTGGTAGGGATGGAGATGGTGTTTAAGCTGACAAGGAAGGCTCCATGAGATGGTGAAAAATGTTTAAAGGACAGGAAATATGCAAAGAGGATATAGAGGTTGGTTTGTACATTCTCTAACTCCTTTCCTGATAACAATAGGGAGGTCTTGGTCATCATTGTTTATCTCATATTTAGATTGAGAAAGCGATTAGAAATTGCTACCTCATTCTCAAGATTTAGGTTGGAGTTTTGGACTTGCACAGATTCAGGGATAATCTTCTTCGTCCTCAAGAACACTTTGCCTTTGCCAAATCTCACACTATCAAGGGTTTGTATTGTCAGTGGGCTCTATGGGAGGAACATTTTCAGTAGGCTCGGTAGAAACATCCATGGGACTAGGCTGTCTTGACATAGGAAGTGGTGAAGATGGCAGATCAAGAGGCAAAAAGTTTGCCTTATCCTTATCTTCCATTACTGAATTCTCCCCCTTAAGATAAGGAACGATGGAATAGGATTCTTGTTCATAGAATGTCACATCAGCTGAGACATAGAATCTTTTTTTATGGAAAGTGATAGCACTTATACCCATTTTGAGTTGAAGAATATCCCACAAACATGCATTTTAATGCCCTTGGATCTAATATTTTCCGGTTTTGATTATGAATATGAACAAATGCCACACACCCAAATATATGAGGAACAAGACTATTTGTGGTGTGTAGGTTTGGATAGAACTTGGAAAGGACATCCATTGAACTTTTAAATCTTAGGACTCTAGAAGGCAAATGATTTATGATATGAGCAGCTGTAAAAACCGCTTCTCTCCAAAAGATTTAGGTACGTTTTTCTAAGACAAGAAGCATCTTGTTGAATTAAAGAGATGACTATTTTTTTGTTCTGCTACTCCATTTTGTTGTGGAGTGCCCGTACAAGAGGACTCATGTACTATTTTTGCTTTTGAAAGTATGAAGTTAGAGCTTGACTAAAATAGTCTTGAGCATTATCTTACCTAAATCTTTTGATATTGACTCCAAATTGAGTCTTTATTATAGAACAAAAATTTAGGAGAACAATACAAACATCAGATTTCTGTTTAAGTAAAAAATTTCAGATGACTAGAGTACAATCATCAATGAACGACACAAATCATTTAGTTCCATTTACATTGGAAATAGTTGAAGGACTCCAAATATCAATGTGAATGAGATCAAAAGGAATAGAACTCCTTTTATTACTAATTGAAAAAGATACACGTTTGTGTTTAGTAAGTTCACACACTTCACAATGAAAATATTCAACCTCTATACCCTTAAATAAAGAAGAAAATAAAAGTTTAATAATCTTAAATGATGGATGTCCAAGTTTGCGATGATGAAGTCAAACTGGTTCTTTATTAGATGAAAAAGACTGTGAGACAGGAAAATAAGAAGTTATGCCCTTAGTGGTGTTGGATTGACTTGATAAATGATTTAATGTTTCGAGATAGTAGAGTCCATCCCGTTCTCTAGCATGTCCAATCGTCCTTCCCAAATCCTTGTCCTGAAATACACAATAACTCTTATTAAAAACCACTTTACAATACAGATCTTTAGTGAGCTTTTGAATGCAAACAAGATTTGTTGTTAGCCTAGGGACATGAAGAACATTTTTTAAC